TATCTAAAAGGCAAAACATTGGATGAATATTGAAAGAGATGTAACCTGCTAACTGCAATATGGAATGTGATTTCGTTTGTAATAACATTTATTTTCATCCATGGCTTACATCTTCATGAATTAATGAGCACACAGACATGATTCGATAATCAGAAAACCCACGTTTAATCCTTTATCTCGTTACTGGTATGCCACAATGAGTTATGGAGATTATGTTAGATCAAGTGTTCTTCTCTGCTGTTGGGACCATGCAATCCATTCGTAACTGCATGGCCAACAAATTAACCTACTCGCTGTGAAAATACTAGCAAGAAGCAACAATACAACATGGCGTCCCAACAGCCTCCTATACCACGTGACCAATCTGTCTACTTATTATATATTTGAATAACAAAGCGGAAACAATTCTATGCAACGCGTTTGGTGTTCTAAAAGGACTTCATCTGGCTGCAAATGTAATGTTGTTATTTATGAAATTATATCTATACAGTTCAGCCGATCTCATTCGGTTTCTTAACGCTCTTGTGTTAGCTATTGTTTTTAAATACCTTACATTCTGACAAGAGATGATTTGTTGAAAAAGATGAAATGTTGTAAGAATCTGAACGCAAATTTATCGTGGAAGATACAGAAACCAATGCACTTTCTATACATTTTCGCCTCAGTAAATTACTTCATCTTTTAATTAATGCAGCATTTAAAAAAAAAAAAGAAGCGAAATGATGCCCAGACTCATTACGATGAAAGACCAATGCATTCAGTGTCTTGTTTTATGATTTTACGTTTTTGCTGTTGCATTGCTTTTTGACTGTGGGGTGTTTTAGAAGGGATTTTTCTATTCTTTGATATTTGACAGAGAAGCATGCAGTCAGCTCAGGTTTTTTTTTTACCTATTTCAAGTAACATAAAACCTTGTACTAAGTTGATTGGAAATGGGATGGACGCTACCAGGTAATTTGTTTTTGCGATAGGGATGACATAATGGGACCAGCATAACACCTTGACTATCTCTTCATGCAATCAAGTCAGAGATGCTTCGCGGAAATGGGCGCCGCCAAGCATCTTTTTTTTAGTCTAGAGATGTCAGAAAGCAACCAGTATGGCAATCCAGTATTCACTTCATGCAATTAAGTTAAAAATAGTTTCCTGCTATTGGTACCATGTAAGCAGGCACAGTCTGTTGTAGGTTAACGAAAGACGAGCTCTAACCGGACTTGCAATGATATATCTTATGCTTTATGAAATATTAAAAAATGGCGCTGATTACACAAAATGTTGGGAAACTATTTTTACCAACTTAATGCATATAAAGAGGACGAAAAAGCGATCACAATTTACCACATTAGAATTTGTTGATAAAAGCGAAACTCCTCACTAAAAGCAGTTTCGAGTTTCTTTTTTTTCTCTCGATAACTTCATTCCTTGCCTCGTTGTCGCGATTACAAAATATCGATAGAAACCTTAAAACTTTAAATAATTTCTTACATTTTTTCGATGAAATTCATATTGATTTCAATCGATAAATTTGAATCTTTCTCGCTGAATTATGATTGATTAAATAAAGAGAATTCTGTGTTTAAAATGTTAAATTAAGCAAACAAAAATCCACTTTACATTTGATGGTCGGAGAGAAAGAATGTGTTTAAAAATCAGACGATGAATGTGAAAACAATTCGTTTATGAGTCAGATTGCGCATGCGCACTCAGATATACTCAAATATCGACAAGTCGAATCTGTAGGCGTATTTATATAGATATTTGACTCAAATTACAATAATGTCTTTGCTTACACAGCAGCAAACCCTGCATAGATACATACCCACATACATGTCGACTTTGTTTTTCGATCGGTATTACTGGAGATTTCTCAAAGATAAAGTC